AAGAATCATATTTGAATGTGTAGAATGTTCAAGAAATAACATTATGGAAACTTAAACAAAATAAAGTAGGGAAGAAAATCAATTCAAGCCTAAGAGATGATAGCTGTGATTGAAGCTCAAAATTCCTTGCGATGAAGTCTTCTCGCCGAACCCGTTGCTGCGCCCCCCACTATTTCTTTTTATTTTATCTTCTCCCCTGTTTTCTCTGTATTCTGCCGTCCCCAAAAGTCCAAAACCAAAACAAATTCCTTCCACTTATCCCCTTCTTTTCTCTTTTTGCTGCGCCCATCTAATGGGCATATTTTACGCTCATATTTTAGGTACATCTTTATAATATTTTTATATTAATTATTTAATATTATCTAATAATTAGTTCTTTTTATATACATAGTATAATCTATTCTTATACTATATATAATATATATATAATATATAATATATAATTTATAAGAGTACATACTACGTACTTAATACTATATATATATAATATACAATATAATATATAATATAATATATATAATATAGAATGCATTATAGTATACATATAATGCGTACTACATTATAATTACTTTTATATATATATATATATATATATATATATATATATATATTATAAATCTAAACTTTACAATTGATTTTTTCTTTTTTTTTTTTGTACAGGCATGCATCATAATAACATGGCTGGAATTGTGGAAGACTCAGGCATAAGGCAAAATAATAGGAAAAATGAGTGGTAGAAAATGATTGGGAAAATATATAAATAGTTAAGGTTTTCTATTGTAAAATGTTCATTCTTCCCCTCTCGAATATTCTTTAAGGTTGTTATCAATGTCCATTCGTGGCTAATTTCTAATTGGTTTAGTGAATTGAAGCCCCGGAGTTCATTACGCTGTAAGGTTATTTATTTAATTTTGTTATATATATTTTTTATGCATTTGAGTATTAAATATTCTGCTAAATTATTTGAATAGTTGTATCGTTTAATTTCTAGGGAGGCCTACTAGTTATTTATTTGATATAATTATTTGCTATATTAGATAATGTTGTGCTACAAATTACTCTAATATTCAGTAGCAACTGGGTTAATTATTGACGGCTTAGTGATAATTGGACTCGGGTAGAATATTTTCCTAAATTAAATGCAACCGCTTGTGCTTGTGTTATTTAGTTTGTCGGTTTTCCTAGTTCCTATTGCTGCTATTAAATTAAATCTATAGCGCTTGTCTTAGGTTATTTAGTAGTTAGGGGTAATTAAACCGCGTGTGCTTTAGTTACCTACAACTAAGGGAAAACGGAAATGAAATAATTTCACGACAAATATTCAACTGCATATTAATTACTTTATAAATCAATGATCAGTGTTAAACTCCGGTGGTGGATCTTTACTGACCAAGGTTTCTTATTATAAGTGTTTTCGATATATTATTTTCACTGTTTATTCGTTCGATTAAATTTCTCGTTTATTTAATTTCTCTTTTATTTAATATTTATTCTCGATATATTCCAAACCCCCCATTATTTCCTTGAGCACAAAAGTTAAACTAGTTACTCCTCGTGGGATCGATCCTTACTCCCGCTACTACGTTTGTAAGGTTTTAATTTGGGAGCCTACGACAGCTCACCACCATCCCTCAAAAGAAAACAAAACAAAATAATATAAAATAAAATAATTATAAACTAATGACATAATAACTCAATTAAACTTAAATATTAAAACACTTATTAAAAATAGAATGAATAAAACTAACAAATAAATTTAATAAAATAGATAAAATAGAACTCTTCTTTATATATTAATAAAAATGCAACATTAGTCTAATATTTATTAAAACTCATCTAAACTAGTCTAAACTAGTAACATATACTAAATATAATATTTATAATATAATTAACCCTAAAACTTAATTTATTTATGCAAATCACTAGCTAAAATTACTCTAAATAATGTCTAGAAATTAAGTCTATCACCTGCCCATGCCCCAGGGCTAGGCCGGTATATTGTCAACACAACAAATGTTCAAATGAAATGGTTTTCTATAAATTGGAAAGACAAAAGACATTAATTGGAGATAGTCCTAATATATATACTTTTGGTTACAATAGAAACCCACAATCACTACTTATATGTGTGCATTGAGTAAATTCTACTATTGTGTAAAAACTTACAAATCACATAAAAATCAAAATAAATTGCATTAGAAATATCATATGTAACGGATTCTATCGAAATGATAGTACTAATTTCGTTGTCTATATAAACAAGTAAAACAACTTAATCTGATGCCAAATAAAAAAAGATCGATTCAGTTTAAATTGTTCAACGTTCACCTTAGAATTGTGAATTACAAAAATCTAATTTTGATAAATCTGTCACTCAAATGTAATAGAGGGATTTTATCATCAATAAGTTTTGTAAACGAGTGAATGTTGATATGTTATAGTGTGTAATATTATCATTTTTATTAGAAAGAGAAAAATTATTCAAACCATCATTTATTTGATTTTTTTCATCGTCCACAAAATGTGAAATTCTCTCACCCTATAACCTGAAGTCACATTTAAACAACAAAAATGTAAAAATAAGGTTTTAACATATGCTCAATTGGATGTAATACAATTCTTATATTTAAATGAATAAACTGTTATGAGTTTGAATATGGGTCTTGATCTTAACACAATAAAAAAAGTGGATAAGAATTTGTGTCCCAGAAGCACAAGGTTTATCTTTAATCTACCATTACATACTTTTGTTATGTAGAATCATTTGAATTTTTATAGTAATTATTTTTTTAAAAATTCAATGTACCATAATACGTTGAAATCCAACTAAAGTTTATACTCGTATTATTTTAAACTAATCTCGTTATATTGAAATACCAATAAATTTTCAAACGAAAATTCTGTTTTCAAATGTATCTGTATATCATAAAGTTGAGCTACATCAAAAAAAAAAAAAAAAATGTCATAATACAAAGCAGAGTAAAATAAAAATTCTACACATTGTAATTTTTGTATGCAAACCAAACGAGTATTAAGCATAACTATGTTGCATTTCCTTTCCACTTAGTCGAGGAATTGTAGTGTTTTCTTTGACTTGTGGTGTGTTAGAGATTGGTAAAAATGAGAGAAACTAATAAACTTTTAGTTTAGGAACCTAAAGAGTCATTGAGAAATTTTGACAAATTAGTATTGTATAGAGGGGGAGTGTGAAAAAATGAATAGGTGATGGGAACCTGAAAATTAGTAAGGGATTGAACAACTTGAGATTTATGTGTCTCATGAGTCTTGAGGAAACTTGGGTTATAAAAAAATTGGGAGAAATAAAATAGGGTGAACAATGTTACTTTCCAATCTTTCGAAAAAAAAAAAAAAGGAATAATGTTCAATTTCGAGATAGCATAGCTCGCTTTATCAATGGCATCAACAATCCACTCACCGTATGCTCTTCCTTTTACACAATCTGTCGGCTTTCTTTATATTCACCATGTTAGGCCTTCTCTTTATGATTTCAACAGTATCAGAAAGGAGGGTAACCCCAGCCAAAATGACTAAGGATACAAACTTGTAACACAAGGTCACGAGTTCGAATCTCAGCCCTCTTGGTTTGAGCCGGTCAACTATGGACAACCTAGGCTGGTTTACTTACTTTTGGTCATTTGCTGGGATTTACTAGTGCACACTCTCGGGTAGTGGCTACGGGTTTCTCTCGTCACCCCAAAAAAAGGGTATCAGAAAGGATTGTGACTAGGATAACTAGTGTTTGGAAACACTTCCACTGCAAGGATGGTAGGAAGAAACATAACGTAAAATGCGTGAGATTCGATGTAAACGGGGAATGCATAGTTTTATTGATAGCAAGCAGAGACATTGCAAAGGGGGAAAGGCTATACTATGATTACAATGGATATGAGAATGAGTATCCAACTGAGCACTTTGTCTGACCTCACAGGACAATCCAATTTGGGTTGTTCTTCACATTTTGGTAGCTGACTTCTGTAACCCCTCAGGGTCTTCCTCCATTGTTGAAAGCTAATTTATCAATTGAAGCAAGGATAAAATATCCCAGTTTTGTTGTATATCTATTCTTGGCCTTATATTGTACAAGCACATTAATTGAACTAAGGATAAAATATCCCAGTTTTGTTGGATCTCTAATTCTTGGCCTTACATTGTACAAGCACATCAATTGAACTAAGGATAGAATATCCCTGTTTTGTTGTATCTCTATTCTTGACCTTATTCCTTGATTTCTCAATTCAATCCCCATGAAAGTATGAAACTCCCAATCACCTATGTTTCGACACCTTTGTTCTTTTCATATGTTGGATTGATATTGTTCCCAAAAGGTTGAATCTCCAATCTCAGACCCAACAGGGCATCTGGGAGATGTAAATTACTTTGAGAGGTTGCTCTCACACTATCACGGGTAAGACTTGATTCCGAGTTATTGTTCTTAAATTTCACTCATGTGACCAACTGAGTTGTCAATACACGCAATATTTGATTGATATGACCTACATTCATGTAGCTTATTTTTTGTCTCATTTTTTGTCTCGGGATCAGAGGAGAAACAATATACCGAGACCTCTCATTCAAACACACATTTATATAGGACTATAGTCTATAACAAGGTAAGAAGATCCCTCCAATTTTTAAATTATAAATTATACTAATTTAAATGGAAATAAAAAATAATGAGTTATCTAAAGTTGGTTCAGACTGTAGGGAGGAGGTCTCCTAATCCCACTGTTTCATCCACATCATCCACAATGTTCGATGAGATATGTCAAACAAAAACAAAAACATATGATGTGATCTTATTATCGTTACCCGACCGTTAAAATCTAACTGTCACTAATCTATTATAATAAAGCAGAACCCAAAAGTTCCCCCAAGCAAAAGAGTGGGCGGCAGTTCACATCTATAATAAGGGGCAAGTAATTGTAAACGCATGCATTTTACATTTTGTTTTGAAACTGATATTTAAATGTCTTGAAACTTAAAAGGTTGATTGAAGGCTCTTCATATACTTAAACTATTATTACAAGTCATCAATACATGTGTGAATACAAAATGAATTTAATTGGGGATGACTGTTGCAATTTTCAAAACTAATATTAATTTTAAAATGAACTTTCCTATCCTATATATATGTGGAGGAAAGAGTGAAAATGAGCAGCATCCATTGCAACCACGAGGCTGCAGGGGAGAAGAATTGGTAAAGCATCCAATAAGAGGAAGAAGACATTTGGTTGAAGATTAAGGTGTGTGTTGAGGCCTACAATTGAGAATTAACTCCAAAGATGAACCATTTACAGGGGGGAGGTGAGCTGAAAAAATGAAAATCAAATGAGGTATCAAAATCTATCTATCTATCTATATCTATATATCTATATATATTATATAAAAACACAATTGCTAGCTTATTTTATATTTTTATGCTTGGCTTTAGTATAAAAATACCAACAATGCACCTTAGAGTAGTCTAGATTTATAATTTCTACCATTGACTTTTTACAGAAAATTGTATTTGTCTGAATGAAGTTTTGGGGTCTAGCGGGTGCTGGTCGTCCGATATACCTCCCAGAAGGCAAGTGCAACACTGATAGGTAATATAGTATAACCGAAATCTGTGAAAAAAATAAAATAAAATAAAGCAATCCAACTATCATTTTGATTTTCAGTAGGACAAAGGACCAAAATGCATTCAAGCATATGACTATTAGCAAGAGGAATAAACACATACAAGAGACTCAGAGTGAGAAATATGAGTATTTTAGCAATCACAAAAATGCAAATTCAAATGATTAAGTAAAATTTTCCTTGATAAGTAATATTTTATGAAGGTATCATGTAAGTATACCTGATTGCTGTTTTAAACTTATCTTGATGTAATGCCTTACATCTGACTCTAAATTGTTGTTTTGTTATGCATGTCAGCATGTGTGAGTACTTCTCTCATCAACTTCCCTGTTGAAAGAATGGAAAAGAGTCATGTTAACATATAATTCTTTTAGTAATATTGTATTCTTGAATGGACATGAAGTTATATAATTTTATGATATCCAGTGCACTTATATTATTATTGTTTTTTCTGCTACTATTTGGCTTATAATCTTGCACTGAAGTTTTTTACAGAATATTTTATTTGGCTTCTAATCAGTAGTTTTGAAGGGAAGAGTAGTGTATAAACAAGTGGTAATGTGTGCTGATATCTTTCCCCAGAAATCAAACATAAAACACAAGTAAAACAGTTGTTATATTATAGACCGCGGTGCATAATCAATTATGCACCGCGGCCCATATACGGCGCCGTTTCTTTAAGTAAAGAAATGGCCCGCCGTTAGAGTTAACGGAGTCCGTTTGTTTGGTGTATTAAACACCAACTGACACTACAGTATATCCAAACCGACACTGCAGTTATATCAAAATGATACTGTAGTTATAGTGAAATGAAACTGCAGTGTATATAAACTGAAACTGAATAACATTTCACATATTTGAGTGTATATTATACAATGAAGCTGTAATTATATCAAAATGATCATGTAGTTGTGTTTTAATAAAACTATAGTGTATATAAAATAAAATTAAATAACATTTTCACATATTTGAGTCTATAAATATCGAATGAAACTATAGTTATATCGAAATGAAACTGTAGTTGTGTTCAACTGAAACTGCAGTGTATACAAAATGACACTGAATAACAGAGTTACTTTTTGTAAAAGGGTGTGAAACGGCGGAAATAAACACTGTTAATTTTCATTTAAAAAAAAAGACGCGCGGTGCATAATCGATTATGCACCGCGGTGCATAATATAATTTGCCCAAGTAAAACAATGCAAGAAAGAGTATACACAATGAAAAAGGAAACAATTACTTGGTCTCAGTAAAATCCAATCATTTTTAATGTAGTTTCATCACGGGGTCTATTTTAATCTTCTCAAGTAAATTACTTCACATATCACTAAAAAATATGCAGTAAGAATTGACTTCTCAGACAATTAATGTAATACTTGATTTTAAACAAAAAAAAAAAAAAACAAAAAAAAAAAAAAAAAAAAAACAACAACAACAACAACTTCACTTTGGAGTATCTTCTTGCATGTTTAAAAAAATTAAATAAACATGATGAGAATATAAGGATTAATCCGGTTTGCATTGGAAAAGAATACAGTTAGAATAAAGTGGCAGACAGAAAATAAAAGTGGAGATTACACTGCAGAAAAATGGTTGATTTCAAGAACCAATTTACACATAGATGAAAAAAGGGGATTGTATACCTGGTAGGAAGAATGAATTGATTCTCAAACGAGACTTTTGAGTCGATGGTGGAGTGCATGCCGGAGAGCAATCCGGAGATGCCAATGGCGGAGTGCGGGCTGGAGAAGCCGATGGCCGAGATTCTGAGAATGAAGGAAACGAAGAGAGGTTATCGATAGATGTAGTATTTTAGGGAGAAGCTGCTCAATAATGGATTAGGGTTATGGGTTTGCAGATTATATTTATACACAAAAACTGACATACTGTCCTAAACTACCTGTACACTAGAGAACCACTTCGGCTGTAACCACAGTTCCACAAGCCCCACCACCAACCACCGGACTACCACCATTGATGGACTCACACTATGATTAACCTACAAACTGCCAAAGCAGAGAACTGAAGACCAGAACGGAAGAAAGACGCTAATCTGGGTATAATCTGATAAAGTTTAGCGGATCACAGGTAGGACGGAGATGCAAACCCTAAGCTACGGAAGAAGCTAGAGACGGAGAGCTGCGATAAATGCTTGGAGTGGAAAATGAAGAAGGCGAAGCGTTTTGCGTATTTTAAAATTAGACATACGGGCTGAGCTTTAATTCAGGTTTTGTTGGGCTTTAAAATATGTTGGGCCTAATATAAAATTTAAATTATGTACCTATTTTGGGTTGGATCAAAATATAAAATGTTAAGAGGCTAGAAAGTGTATATTAATTTGTGTTGTTTGTATAATGACTTTAATAATACAAATAAATAAGTTTATATATATATATATATATATATATATATATATATATATATAATTTATTTATTTATTTACTTATCTTATTTATCAATGTGTATGTTTATTATTTGAAATATGTATTAATTGTAGTTTGTGTATTGTATTTTTTTTTAAGTATTACATGTTATATCCAACCTGCAAGAAGTGATAGTTGTCATTCATCATCAAATGGTAATAAATAAAAATACTTCTTTATCTATTATAACATTACAAATAAATCTTTAATATTTAACAATACTAAGTATGGTTTTAAAGAAAGAAATGTAAACAACAAAACAAATTAGCATCAAAAGTCACAAGGCAATGGCCGGAAAAATGACGAAGGTGGTGGCTTACACCGTAGCCGCCGCCTTCGTCATCCTCCTACTCTCACAAGATCATAATAAGCTATTTCGCAAAGATTACAGCCCACGCGGGCTGAGCCGCCGTCTCCGCACCCAGGGGCCGGCTCCCCCCATTTTCGACCCCATCGTTGCCCGGAGGAAAGGATTGGCGAATCCTGAGAAATCCGAGGACGATGATCGTTACTTTAATTATAAAGGCAGGTTGGACACTGGGCTAAGGTTGATGGTCTTGTTCCCCATTTTAGACAGAGATCCCTGCGACGGATTCGTGGATGTTAAGGAACTCGAATACTGGAACACCCAACAGGCCATTAGCCGCCTGAATTATAGGACGCATAGAGAATTGTTGTTGCGCGACAAGGATGGCGATGGATCCATTTCGTTCTATGAATACTTCCCTCAATTCACAGATGAAGATATAGGTACATACTTATTACGTGATTTCATTTTTTTCTTTTTTCAAGAATTCATGTTCTCTTATGATGTTTAACAAGATCCGATTTCAAACAGAGAGAAACGAAACTGGGCATGGAGACGCCGGATGGTGGATGATACAGTTCAAGAACGCTGATGTTGATCGGAATGGAACTCTCAACCTTTACGAATTCAGAGAGTAATGTCACCATTAGACCCTTTTTGCCCTGCCTCGTAGTATTTGTGGAGGTAGTAAATTAGGGTGATTTAATTACCCTCATTACTCATTAGATGGGAAGACTGATGTCCCGTGCCCACTAGGAACGAACGCACCACATTAGATGTGTCTCTCACGTCGGTTATCAGGTTCAGGCTGGATCCGTATCCTTATCCATAATTTGTTACGAAGTACTTAAAGAACCAATTGAACTATCTGTGCAGATTCCTTTTACCCTCTATCATTTTGTCCACAAAAGGCGAAATCCCCCCACCACACTCCTGCTCGACAGGATTTGTGGAGGTAATAAATAATAAATCAATATGATTTAGTGACCCATTATGTGGGAGGACTCACACACTAGAACTTCGAAACTTGATCATGTGTTTTTACCCACAATTTGCTATATAGGAACTAACTAAGCTACTCGGACTAACTCTCTTTACCCTTTACCTTTTTGCTTATGTTAAATGCCAATATGCCATGCATGCTGTTTAATCCATTATTGGGATTGGATCCAAATTGCTTTGCAGTTTTCTGCATCCAGAAGACAGCAGAAACGACAACATCAGGAGATGGTTGTTGACGGAGAAGTTAAGGTCAGTTTGGTTTCTCCAATGTTGTTGTATTGTCCAGTAGGTAACGTCATTATAATGGATCAAAATTCTGATACAATAATAATCATAACAGGCAGATGGATGTTAACAAAGATCAGAAGCTCTGTCTGCTGGAATTTGAGAGAGGAGCTTATGAAACCTACAAGACTTACAAGGAATTCGAAACCGGTGGCATAGATGTGCCCTCAGTCGAAGAAACATTCACACTCCTCGATGCTGACAAGGACAGGTATAAGAATTATGAGACTGAACACATCATTCAATTTCCTGTCTGTCTATCTTTCTATCTATGTCCTGATCATTTGCTCATGTTTCTGTTCCCAGTTTTTTGAGAGTGGAAGAACTGAAACCCATATTTCATTACTTGGACCCCGGAGAGTTGTCATATGCTAGATATTACACCACTTATCTCATCCGGGAGGTAAGCCAATTAAAGCTCCCCCGATATCATGATTTAGAGCGTATTATGTTGCAACTTTACAATGTACGTGTGCACAACAACTTGCAGGCCGCTGACAACAATGATGGAAAGCTAACGCTAGACGAGATGATGAATCATGATACCTTGTTCTATGATACCATCTATGACAATGGGAAGGATGAGGACGATATATACCATGATGAGCTTTGATCTTCATTGGAGAATACAATCTCAATCTTGTGCTCGTACGTCCTTCCTAGTTGTTCAGACAGGCTACTGCAGGCAGGCCAAACAGGATCTATCGGAGGAGGAAATGTTGTTTCTTTCTGCATGCATATGTTCTTGGTGCTTGTATTGTCTAATAGCAAGTATACTAAAACCATACTGATAGGATAGGAGAGAAGGGTGGAAGCAGAGGGCTTGTACAGGGACAGTGGAGAGGGATGGGACCTGCTGGGTTACGTTGTTGGGTTGAAGAAAGAAATCCTCAACAAACTTCAGTTTTTCTTGTTTATATTACTTTTAGAATTTAATTTTGTCAGGACCAAATTGTAGAGGGAGCATGCTTTAGTTTTTTTTGTTTGTTTTTACTTGCTTTTTTTACTTACTATTAAATTTGTTAATTTGCAAGATGTGAATAGATGGTTCAATTGTTAGCCTCTAATAGAGACATAGCTTGAATCTACTGATCAAGTATTAGATTTGTTGAAAGCGATCACCACCTGTCAGTTGGGTTGGCGGGTGATGAAAGCCAACAAATTTAGACAACAACATGTGATACTCTTTAGTTTTCTTTTTCTTTTTCTTTTTTTATTTTAAAAAAAAAATGAAATTGCAACGATTTTGTTGTTGATGAATGATATTTTTATTGAGTTGGGGAGTTCAATTAGGAAAATCATTAGATAGGAGAAAAACATGTATGAATCAAATGGGAATTGTTCTATGTGTACCCTAAGAATAGTGCTGGGATTTCAAAAGGGGGAAAATTGAGGTAGTTTACTTGAGAAGGAAAAACTACTTGGAGCAACGCCTATTCTATTTTCCTATTTTTCAACAACATGCCCAAGGAGATGGCGTTTTTGGTTCCTTTTATTTAACTAAAAATCACATTTTGTGTATTCTTTTCGTATTTGTACAAGAGTTTATAATAAATAAAAAAAAATAACATTATTAAGTAATGATTGCGGAGGCGTTATTGGTTCTTTGTGTTTCACTAGGTTGAGAAAGTATATGAACAGATACTACAATGTAATAGAGCCAGTAGCTTTCAAAAAAAAAAAAAAAAAGTAATGATTGCAGTAATCTTAACTATAATAAACTAATAAAGCGGTATGGTCGGGTGAAAAGAGAAGGAAAAATAAATGGGTTGCATTTAATTTCGTCCAAGCATTGGTTCTGCCAATGCTATTAAATTATCGTCCAAAATTAATTTAAAAAATGGTAGTATTGAGATATTTTACGCCACTGCTTATGTGAAAGGGAAGAGTATTAATTGCAGCCCTATATTAATTGCCGCAAGTCCGCAACACGTTTGTTTAATCTAGGGCTGCTGTTTAAAAATTCGAATCGATCGTATAGAATCGAAACACCGTTTAATATTCTAGGAATTAATGTACCTAAAGAACTCTTACACCATCTACCAAGTAATGCCTATATAATATAGAGCTAATTAGCGAAAACAAACAATAGCAACTACAGAAATTCCTTTGAAGTTCAGAATTCTCTTCCAGATTGGGTTTGTACTTTCTTGCTCGTGATTTGTCAAACCTTCAAAAACAAGAGCTGGAAAGGAAAGGTTTCTCTAATAGTCCTCTTCTATGAGGAAGAGGTACATGTCATTACCTACATTATTCTGCATAAATATTGTTTTTAAAGGTCAGTATATACAAAAATTAATAATGTAGGATATGTAAACTGCTTATCAATATGGCACTATTATACATGCTCCTTCTTTGGTTTAACTTTTAGAAAAGCCCGTTTGGTTCACGGAATAGGCTGGGAATGGCATAGCATTCCCAGTAATAGGCCTATTCCTTTGTTTGGTAACCATTTCTATTACCAGGAATAGTATTCCTGGTAATAGCCTATTACCTCAAATAAGGTAATAGCTATTACTAGGGCCCCTCTGGTATTAGCCTATTACTGAACGCTCGGGAATAGATTTTAGAATCTATTTTCTTTTTTACCCCTTTCTTTAACCTAATTTTTTTATCCTACATATAAATTTATCCTATTTCACCACCGTCGTTGCCACCACCACCACCACCGCCACCACCACTGCCGCCGGCACCGCCGCCGCTGCCGCCCCCACCACTGCCACCGCCACCACCGCTGCCACCACCGCCGCCGCCACCGCCACCAGAACCACCACCCAGCAGCACCACCGCCACCACCACCACAACTGTCGCCGCCCCCACCACTGCCACCGCCACCGCTACCGCCACCACCACCACTACCACCCCAGCACCACCGCCGCCGCCGCCACCACCACCACCCAGCAGCACCACTGCCACAACCGTCGCCGCCCCCACCACCACTACTACAACCGTCACTGTCACCACCACCACCGTCGCCCCCACCACTGCCACCACCACCACCACCACCCCAGCACCACCACCACCCCAGCACCACCACCACCACCATCACCACTACCACCACCACCATCGCCACCACCACCACCACCACCGCCACCGCCACCATCACATATTTATATAAGGGTATTTA